TGAAAAAATTATTACTTCATAACAAAATATTAACTTCAAAATAATAATAATAATACTAAAATGTAGATCTTCTAAAGTGACTGACAGAGATACGTAGTTTTTGCACGGAACAGAAAGATACGTGGTTTCTTCACTGAACGTGGAAGATACGTAACTTCTAAAATGTTCTTTAAACATACGTACATTCCACTTGGCGTGAACGATATGTATAATAAAATATAAATTTTAAATACTATATAATTTATTTATTTATAATAATATATTAATAATACTAATATATTATTATTTATAATAAAAATTAATAAATGAAGTTAAAAAACCAAAAAAAATAATCAAAAATCAACTGCTGTAAAAAGACTTTTTATGGCAGCTAACTGCCGTAAAAAGACTTTTTATGGCAGTTTACTGTTGTAAAAAGTCTTTTTTATCCCACATGCACAAAAATGGCGCTTTTAAAAAGCTGACGACAGGGAGTAAAGTCACTCATTTGTTCGACCATATGAAAATGGCGTCCATTTTCTCCCAAGAGGCAAACATAACAGCTGATCCCATGCGTTATTTTTGCCCATGGGAGAAAACGGCCGCCATTTTCATATAAGTCGAACAAGTGAATGGCTTTTACTCCCTGTCGTCTGCTATCTGAAATCGCCACTTTTGTGCATTAGGAATAAAAAATATCGTAAGTAACACGGGAATAAAGGCAGCCAATTTATTGTTTACGGTGATTTTTGTGACACGAGTGGAGGTCTCGGGGCGCCTACGGCGCCCTCGACCTCTACTCGTGTCACAAAAATCACCGTAAACAAATGGCTGCCTTTATACCCTTGTTGCTTATTATACTATTTACGGCAGTTGTCCAGAACTGCCTAAAAAAGTGCTACTTTATTTACCCAAAACAGGTCCCAAAAAGACACTTTTTCATGTCTACACACTGCAAAAATAAGTGTCTTATTTGATATCTTAAATTAAGATGTAAGATGGAAAAATGGTATCTTACATCTTAAAATAAGATGTTTTCTAAAGTATCTTACTGATTTTTAAGATGTTTTATACGTCTTAGATATTTCTTCTATCTTAAAAAAGTAAGATACTTCTGTAAGTTTTTTAAAGTATCTTAAATTAAGATGTTTCTGTCTCAACAAGATGTTTAGCGATAAGATACTCGTGAATTGTAAGATGCGAAAAAAATTTAAGTTACTAAAAACTAAGATGCATAAAATGTCTTACATATAAGCCCATAGTTAACCTCAAAACTTTTTTCCCGAAAAATATGCTGTAAATATGTACGAAGATGCTTTTAGTATCTTAAATTAAGATATTTTAAATGACTAAAAAGTGACTACAATAACATCTTAGAAATGACTACCAAAACATCTTAAATAAGATACTTCTTTTTGCAGTGCACGGAAAAAAAATGTTCACAAATCTCTCGTGAACTAATATATCACTTTTGGATGGGACACAAAATTCTTGAAAATCAACAAACACAGTTCGTCAAAATTTCATCAACTCCTTCACTAGAAACATAGTACGGTTTCCGAACTTTTCGTCAAAGTTAACGAAAAATTCGTGAACTTTTAAAAAATGCTAAAAACAAGAAAAAATAATTTCCAGACACTACTTTTTTATAGTATTTCACTTTATTTGATAACTTGACGCCTATTACGCACCCAACTACACAGAATACACAATTTTATCGCCATTAAAATTCGTAATTCGCTTCACGGGATTCGAACCTAGTACCTATACCCTATAACATAATATTTCTAACAACTAACCGCCACGGCTAAATCTAGATACACTGTCCTTCGACAAACGAAACGATTAGCTTTGTCTGCTGTAAAACTCAGGACCGTGCAAAGTAGAAAAAGTCCCTTATCGTAACTTTTAATTCATTTTATGAATTATTTGTTTCACAAAGGAAATTAGCAAACAAAAATATTCACTAAGTAATAAAAAACACTGATTCTAAATAATAACTTTCATCAAAGAAATTTCCCGAATGTAAACACCGATGACACCGACTGAATGATGAATGCTTGATCAGCCATATTTGATGCGCATTACGAACTGCGCATACTACTGACACTCGCGAGTTCACGATTTTTTCGTGAACTTGTACCTCTACTTTTGACGAACTACTCTTCCTTAACAGTTCATCAAAAATTTATTAACTTTGTTTCAGTTTTTCGTTGACGTTCGCCATTTCTAATCAAAAGTGAATGAAAATTTTGAAATTTTGTGTCCCATCCAAAAGTGATATACTAGTTCACGAGAGATTCGTGAACTTTTTTTTTCCGTGTATGGCGAAAAAAAATTATTTATAATTTTTGTTGTAAACAAGTGTAGTTATTAACTAATTCACTGTTTGGACACATTATTTTGGTAATTTATGGAAATTTTCGCGATAATTCATAAAAATATGTAAAATTTGAATTATTATTAAAATTTGGATTTTGGTAATTTATGGAAATTTTCGCGGTAATTTATGGAAATTTAAAAGGTAATTTATGGCAATTTGTAAGGTAATTTAAAGGAATTTTGTCGGTAATTTTTAAAAATATGCAAAGTAGAAATCACAATTGAAAATTTTTATATCGGTAATTTATAAAAATTTTCGTGGTAATTTATGGAAATTTATTTAAGTAATTTATGGTAAACTTTCCTGAGCTATAGGTTTTTTTATTCCTTATATATGTGGCACCATAACACTACATTTGCACTAGGTTTTTCGTAATACGAAGGTCGGTAGAAATTCTAAGGCCGGTGGGAACTTTTTCAGCCGACTTTAGATATTTTAATTTTTTAAAAAAAGTATTATTAATTTTCAATCGGTTTAAAGTCGATCTCATTCGTATTGACCAAAACAATATACCTACGTTTTATTTAACCTTTTTTATAAATAGTTGTTTCATTTGTGGTAAAATATTTAAGGGTCGGTGGAGGTCGCTGGAGATTATTTTGTTATTCCCTTATCAAATTTCCAACTTAAAATGAGTGAAAAATGAATAAATCAATTAGAACAATGATTCTTTTTCCTGAATTAACTTAAGGAAGTTATTTTTTGTGTTTACAAAAGCAATTTTAAGTTAACATTTGATTTTCATTTAAATAATTCACTGTTTGTTAATAAAATAATAAATAACATCCAAATTTGCTGTCAAGCATAAACAGAAAGAAACATATAAAATAAATTTAAAAAAAAAAATTTTTTATTCAACTGTACTAAAGTAGACAATACTAAAATGTCAATAGTAATTGTATTTATTATTGTATTTTACTAAAACTATTAACTTTTTTTCTAAACTTTCTGTGGGGACAGGTAAAAATTTGACGTTTTCAGCCTTAAAACCGCTTATTTATGAAAAATTATAATATTAGATACAAAAGTAATTATTGGTTTTTGTTTCTAAACATATAGATAACCTTTTTACGTTGGAATTGTAAAAATATATAAAAATTATTTATTATTTTTCCATTACAACATGAAAAAAACCAAGTTCTGCGCTACGCGGAGAATCACCCATATACACCTGGTGCGTTTACATCCGAACAAAGAATCAGCTAAAAAGTCTCCTTTGTAGACTTAAAAACTGGCAAACCATCCACGTTGGAAATCAATTTAACTTCCTCTGCTGATTTTCCCATTCTTTTATACTCTCTGAGAATAGCCTTACTGCTCGTTTCAACCCAAAATGATAATATTTAACATTTTTGTATTCTTTTTAATAATTTATGAATATTTAATATATTTGAATTAAAATAGACATTTTCTTATTTAAAATCTGTGCCTGAACCAAAAAAAATTTTGACAAAAATGGATCCACAATCTGGTTGTTGGGAATGTTTCTGCATCATATCAAAAGTAAAAATCCGTTGAGATCAAAATCCTTGCTGATCCTTTTTTCGAGTTATCATTATTTCCATGCAAATGTTTACAAAACAATCAAATTAAAACTTTGTAACTACATGTAGGCAATCCAATCACGCACAAGGTATCTTAAATATTTTTTATATGTGAATACAGGGCCGGATTTACCGCGGGGCCAGTGGGGCCGTCGCCCCAGGGCCTCCACCATTTAAGGCCTCCACCAACTCAAATACAAATTTCATGATTTTTGCTCGTGTTTAAAAATTCTCTGCTCGTGTTTAAAAAAATATTCTCCAGGTCATAATTTACGACCTTAGTAACGTTTGAAGAAATTACTTTCTTTTAATTCGCCACCTTGCGATCGTTGTGCTCAAGGTGGTGGTCCTTTTTAGAACTATCTGTTTGTTCAAAATCTGAACCTTCTCCTGACATCACAGTTCCTAGAACTATATGTCTATATATATATATATCAATCAACACTGTTTATTATCTCCAGATGCTTTGTAGTTAGACCTCCATTTTGCTTTTGCTTTAATAAGAAAATCGTGATCGAATTAAATAAAATTTGTAAATGTAAAGTATATATACGAGAAGAGATGTAGTTTATTGAATATCCTATTGTTTTAACGTGGACAGACAGCAGTGTGAAATTTATAGTGTCGTTTTTGGGTTAAGTTTTGTGTATTATACTTACACTGTAAAAAGTCCTAAAAATATTACATAGTTTAAAAGTGTCATATTTTACAGACAATGGTAAAAATGCTGCATTAATTAAGGTTATGTTGTCACATTAAATGTAGGACTTTTCATTTTTCAGGAAAATGTGACACTTTCAAACCGCAATAGTTTTAGAATTTTTTACGGTGTAATCATGTATTTTTTTGCACATAACCTTACCTAAGGGATGGAAATTATGAACTGTATCTTATTTTAGTTCTACATGCAAGATTATTTCCATTTTGAAGTCTAATAAAATATATTGTAGTCAGGCCTGATTGTAGTGTTTGTGTTCGAATTTCAAATATTTTGTATGGAAAATACAGTAAGTATTACCTGTTAATAAAGGTTATTGAGATAAACACTTAGTTCTTAATTGTAATTTTTATCGTTATTTATAGAGCAGATTAAAATGTACAATCGAAGTGAAGATCGACATAAATCTCGGCGAAGTTTTCAAAGTGGTGCGCAAAAAAGGAAAATTGCTGCAGAAAAAGAACAAAAATTTGAACAGATACTTTGTAAAACTCCAAAAATAAGCAATTATTTTATTGATTCCAAAATTCCTGAACCTGCGAATATCGATAAACCAACTACTACTTCAAGTTCAACTATTTCTCAATTTGATGAAACTGAATCAAAAATTGACGCCACTAACAACAGAAATCCTGAAGTCACAAGTAACGAACAACCATCTACTTCTTCTTCCAGTTCAAATATTTCAAAATTTGATGAAGTTGAAATAAAATTGGCCACCACTGCACACTTGGAGAAGATATCGGATAATCTTAATTTTACGACTGATATAGGTCTTTGGAAAGAACCTTTCACAGACGATATAATTAACTTTTGGATTAAAAAAGGTTCAACTGAATTACAAAACTGCGACGAGGAAACTATCTCTAAATTGTCTGCTACTCAGACAACACAAAATGTGAATGAGAGTAAAAGAAAATGCACATCAAGTCTCTTTTATCGAACTAATCAAAACAAAGAAGTAGTTAATCGGTTTTGGTTATGTTTTTCACCATCTACCGGAAAAATATATTGTTTCTTATGCAAATTATTGTCAACTTCAACGTATGTAGCATTAGGTAAAGAAGGCTACTGTGATTGGAAACATGCATCGGAACGTGTACGTCAACATGAACTGTCGAAGAATCACTTGAATTCAGTTATAGTTTTTTCAACGCGTTTAAATGAAGTAAATTGTATTGACCGTAAACTTCAAGAACAAGTAAGTATTTACTTCTAAATTGTTGAGTGCCATGTGTTAATAAAATATAGAACCACAAAGTTTAATTTTTGATAAAAATTTGCTTGCTTAGTTGCTTTCATTATAAATTCGAATTTTCATTAAATAAAATTTTTAAAAGCTTGCTATAACAAAACTTTAAATAGTAGGTAACAATAACAAACATTTTTGGTTCTATAACAATCTAATTTTTCTGTGTAATAAATTATGAGCAATACTAATAACATAACAATTTACATTAACTGGGTTATTAGGCCTCTGAAGTAGCTGGATATTGGCGAGAAGTCCTTAAAAGAGTTGTAAGCACCGTTACATTTATTGCTGAGCGTGGACTAGCTTTCCGAGGTCTTGATGAAATTATTGGTTCGCCAAATAATGGAAATTTTTTGGGAATTATGGAATTAATTTCTCAGTTTGATCCTTTTCTTGCTGCTCATATGAAAGAATATGGAAATAAAGGAAGTGGCCACACAAGTTATTTATCATCAACAGTAGTCGAAGACATCATTTTCCTTATGGGCAAAGAAGTATTGCGTGAAATAGTCGCTCGCATAAAAATAGCAAAATACTATTCTATATCAGTTGATTCTACGGCTGATGAAGGACACATTGATCAATTAACGGTAGTTATACGATACGTGGAAAATTTGAATCCAGTAGAACGTTTTTTAACTTTTATTCCGAATTGTGGCCATACCGGCAAAGATATGGCTCAAGCTCTTCTTGAGTTTTTAAGTAAACAAAGTTTGAACATAATGGACTGTCGAAGTCAGTCTTTTGATAATGCAGCAAATATGAGTGGCAAATATAAAGGTATGCAGGCTTTAATAAAGGTGGAAAATCCTCTAGCTGAACATCTTCCATGCTTTGCTCATTCATTGAATTTAGTAGGAAAATCAGCTGCTAATACGTGCCTTGCTGCAGTTCTTTTTTTTAGCTTTGTCCAAGAACTTTTTGTATTTTTCACCAATTCGACTGCACGACATAAAATCCTAATTGAGAAATTATCCTCTTCGAAAACAAAGGGTAACTTCTATACTTTAAAGAAATTAAGCGATACTAGATGGTCATGTCGGGCCGATGCCACTAAAGCTCTGGCTTATGGTTATAAACCTATTCAAGATTCATTAGCTCAAATTTATGATGACGTCGAACAAAAAAGTATCGTAAGAAACGAAGCTCTCGGTCTTTTGCAAAAAATGTCTAAACTTGAAACTACAATTTATATTAAATTTTGGCATGATATACTTGAAAGGTTCAATTCAACAAATAAAATTCTGCAAAGTTCCACAATGATTCTGTCTACAGCTGTTAACGGACTCAAGTCTTTAAAAACATTTGTAGAATCGAAAAGAGATTCATTCGAAACGTACGAAATAGCGGGTAAGGAATTATCTAATACTGAAGAGTATGAATCTGTACGTGTGAGAAGACCAAGTGTGAAGCTCCGACCTCTTGATTATGGACAAGCACCTGCAGTTCAATTATCGGCGAGAGACAAATTTCGAACCGAATGTTTTCTTCCGGTTATTGACCAATTAAATTTGGCATTGGCTGAACGAATAATGGCTTATGAGGCTATTTGTGAAAGATTCGGGTTCTTGGCCGAATTGAATGATATAGAACCTTGCGAATTAGAAATAAAAGCAAATAATCTTGTAGACGCCTATCCTGAAGATCTCGAACGGAATCTGACAAATGAACTTGTTCACCTTGTGGCTTTTTCTAAGCAATATGAAAAAAGGGAGGGAGAATCTACAGAAGTATTCCTTTATAGATTAATTTTAGAAAATAATTTTAAGTCATCATTTTGCAATGCAGAAATAGCTCTTCGCATATACCTGACCTTAATGGTGACCAATTGCAGTGGAGAAAGGTCATTTTCTAAGATGAAAATAATAAAAAACAGATTGCGAACTAGCATGGGACAAAATCGTTTAGAAAATCTAACGCTTCTAAGTTTGGAAAATGACATCCTTCGCAACTTGAGTTTTAATCAAATTATAGATGATTTTGCCAAAGAAAAATCACGTAAAGTTCATCTTTGATTAATATAAGAAGTAAAAAAATAAAAAATCACCAATTATTTTATAATTTCATATGTACGTATTTTTTCTAAAAAAATAAATGCACTTATGTCATTTAATGACATTTCCTTTCAACTAATTATAATTTAATATTTCCTTACATTAAACAAAATTTTAGAAAGGGCCTCCACATAAATTTAGCCCTGGGGCCTCCACAACTGTAAATCCGGCCCTGTGTGAATATGTGTAATTACATTTAAAATAAGACCTAAATAAAAAAAATTGATTAATATTTTTCAAAATTTCGGGGTTTTTCAACACAAAGTTTAGTTAAAAGTTGGTTTTGAGCTTTTTTGATATTTCAGGTAATATTTCCGTAACCTTTATATTTCTTTTAAGTGTATTAATTATGTTTTAATAATATTTGCACAAAATTTTATTTATTTGATTGAAAAAATACAAATAATAAGACATATTATGTAGACATATACGAAAAAAATTTTATTACGTTAGGGTCCCCACTTGACCCACATTCCCCTAGTTGGACACTTAAGGATACGTTCTTATATTATGCATTTTTTCTTTAAATAACAAATAATTACTGCTTGTTTAAGCACATTATCAATTAAAAGAGTTTTTCAGGATTAAAAATCATATAAATTTGTTACAAATACTTGAGTATTTAATGAAATATAGGTAAGCATTTTAATGAAAAGTCACGAAAGCTTCATTAGTCTGACATTAGTCAGATATTTTGGATGTATGAAGTAAAAAAATAATTTTTTAATTGCTTCCTGCTGGAAAATTTAATTAAAGCTTATTAGAAGTTAAGTTTAAATGTAATTACATATATTTACATACAAAAATATTTAAGATACTTTTTGCGTGATAAGATTGCCTACATGCAGTTACAAAGTTTTAATTTGAATGTTTTGTAAAAATTGCATGTAAATATATTGATATCTCGAAAAAAGGATCAGCTAGGATTTTGATCTAAACAGATTTTTACCTTTGATATGATGCAGAAACATTCCCAACAACCAGATTTTGGATCCATTTTTGTGAAACTTTTTTTTTGTTTAGGCACAGTGTGCCCAGTTAAAACAAGTTGTTCATTTCATGACCATTTAGCTTCCTCAACATATAAAATATAAATTCGTGACGTAATTCACTTACAAAATTTTAGCAAACTCCATCTAAACATATGGGTGATTCTCCAAAAACCGGTCACTTTTAAGTTGATAAAAAATTTTTTTTAATGTTAAAAAATTGAACTTTCTTTTATTAATTACTGTTCATTGGTATTTAAATAAACTATATTTGAAGTAGGTACGCTACAAAACTATTTAAAGTTTAAAAATATTAAAATTATTTAAATTTCACCAGGATCATTTTAAATTTTTTCACGTCGCTCTTTTTCGACATTTGTTTTTTTCTGTTTGTTTAATTATTCTTTAATGTTAGACAATCCATATCAACTATATTTATTTTAAATTACATTTATTAATAAACATTAGTTTTCGTGTAATTAGCACTTTTCGCGTAATTGAAATGAGATGTGAAAAGTAAACAGGAAAACTAACCTCATCAGAGGCGTATTATCGAGGGGCACTGAAATTCATATTTCTTCTATATAGGTATTATTAATTGAATTAAATGATTTATTTTTATTATTTTTAAAATTATATTTAAAAATATATGAACAGATTCGAAAAATTTCAACTTTATTACCTATTTTAAAAAAGTTTTAGGCACGGGCACACTTTTTACTTGTTTCGCACCTACCACGTGCAAATGTTTTGACACGACAAAGGACTCCACGACAATGGAAATTTGTACAAAATCCATTAATACTTATTTTAAACAAAGGTAAATAAAAAAATGGCTAGGTATACACTTTTGTCCTACCAAACTGTAAGTTTTCATCCGTTTTTTATTGATATTTATATTGAAATATTAAAGTTATGACAGCGCACGACAAAGGAATGAATAAAAATACGCAGTGTTTTTCTAGTGTTTTTTCTTAAAAATATAATTTATTTTCCAATTTCTCTTGGAGATTTGAAAAGTGACATGTTTTTTCTTTAATTTCCAATTGATTTTTATATAAAAAGTGCACGTCTTATAGTTTATTTATACACGTTTATCCTTTGTCGTGCCAGCATGGAGATTTTTAAAGACACTTATATTTTAATAATTATCAATAACTATATTGATGTATTAAAAAATTTCATCGATAAAAATTGAAGCTTTTGAGTTAATCTTTCATAATATTTATTGAATAATTAAAGATACTTCTTTTTTATAAGTAATAGTACTTTAAAGTTTGGTACTCAGAGGTAAAGACATATTGAATTGCTGTTTTACAGCTGTTAAATGTTGTTTTCCACTAAATTTGTGTTAAAAAATTATCGTTTTTTATAAAGGGTATAATAAGTGATGTTTAAATAATATGTTTGTCCAATGTTAATATTTAAATGTTAAGTTGTTTAGAAGATATAATTCAAAGACATGAAATTGCCCACTTTCAGGAGAATCACCCATATGTATAAAATTAAATTATGAAAAAATACAAAATTTGAATTTTTTGTGATAAAGAAAAATGTGAAATAGGTAAACAAACATTTTCTAACACATTTGTCTCCGTACACAGACACTTTTCACTAAATCTGCCAACGTACAATTGGTAAGCATCTTTTAAATTACAATAATCGAAAATATTTTTTAGATTCATGCAGAAACGCGGTTATAAAATAAAAAATTGGAAAGTAATGTAATGCCAATCATATGTCAGCTGGGCCACTGTGTTCGCTCGATTCGCTCTGCTTGCTTCTGCCCTCTACTGGCGACTTGCACTATGTACCGATTGTGTACCGCATTGAAAGCAGCCTACGCCGCATTGGAATCATATTTGACAGTTCAACTTACCTTTTTTTCTTAAAGTTTCATTTTAACACTCACTATTATTATTTTCTCATTCCTTTAACTCGCATATTTCTGCACTGACACAATTTTTGTGACACACACACACACACACACACACACACATACACATACATCTGGACACTTGCTCAGAATTGAATATACATATGTTATAGATGAAAATGAGTCCATATAACCTTTTTTTGAAAAATTGAAAATCGTCACGAATGCAAAGCTTCCTCATGAGGAAGCAAAACATTAAAAAACAAAAGAACTTTAAATTTAAACTTGATGTATAACGCGAAAACAGCGCAGCAGCAGCGAACACTATCAAAACGGCTTACACGACGACAAAAATAATTTAATATTGTTATTTCTAGTAGCGGGCCATTTTTTCTTAATGGTTTCTTACTCAAAAATGTATGCAGAATACGATAGTATTTTTTAATGTTACGTATAGCGTGAAGAAGACTGTTTTTTATTATAATATTATAAATAAATAATTTAAAAAACAATAAAAAATAAAAAAAATTTAAACAATAGTACATTGTACAACTAGTGGCGAAAGTGTGATTTTTCGAGAGTGAAGTTTGCGACTCGAGCGTGTAATATACTTTCTGGCTTGATCTGGCAACACCGTTTAAATAATTAATTTCAAAATTATTTCCAGCATCAAGGCTTGCTACCACATAGCAGGGCCTTGATGCTGGACACCCGACACCCTGATAAGCCTGACTCTGTCAGCAAAATATTTCTCTACCGAGCTCACGAAAGAGCCAACTAAAATAATATATCAATTAATTTGTTCCCAAAATTACTCTCTTAAAGCAATGAATTGGAAACGACATCGCTGCTGTAATAAAATGAGCAACGTTGCAGCAATGTTGCGAAGCCAAACGGCGACAAACAACATTGTTGCAATAATAATAATAAACAACATTGTTGCAATAATAAATAAACAACATTGTTGTAATGGTGGGGAGGAAGAGTTTCTTCTCCTTCTTTCTTTTCTCTTTCGGCAGCGCTGCAAGAATTTTAAAATCATGATGGAAGACGCATCGAGTAAATGCGCATATGTGTAGACGGTGACGCACACGGGTTGGTACTTGCGGGACGAAGGTACCAATACCTTCACAGTTTTAAGAACTCGCACCATTGTAACTCTAGGCTATAGACACCAACACTCTCGCAGGTCTCCCTCCGTTACAAACTCACACGTACACCTATACTCGCCTCTACTCCTTGCTTCTTGCTCAATTTAAACAAATTGAGAAACACAAAAAAAACAACATCAACCACCATGGTATAATGAATTACCCTTTATTTAGTTATGGTGGTGTGAATGTAGTTATTAACAATAGTTAAAGGATAAAAAAAAATAATAATTATTTGATAATGGAATTATTATTCCAGAAAAGGATCAAATTTACTCTTTTCCGTTCTCACGGAGCTACCGTGAGAATCAAAAAGATCAGCAAAACGCAATGACCAATGGGCCGCGAATCCTACTCCCTACCTTAGGACCCCTTATCACCTAATCACCCCACCTTGGAAAGAAGCAAGGACTAGAGGCTAGTCAAAATCTTTTAATCGAAGCAGTACAACTTCTTGTTTCTCCTAAGTAACACCTCTACTGGTCTTGACCTGGCAAGGTGTGACGAGATCAAGAACGCCGCGACTAAGCCTGTCTGCGCGTCGGACCCCCGCGACAACTTTTAAAGTAACGCGAAAGGCGGACGAAAAATTTTAATAGAATCTCTTAACCGACGGAGTCCTGCGAGGATGGTTTTTGAAAAGTTAGTTAATTAAGGTGCAAAACCGAAGTAAACCAACTTGTTCCCGTAACCGGTCAGCCCGTGCGTGTGGCACCTGCACCGTTCAAAACCAACGGCCCGCGAAGTTTTTCTATATAGTTCTGCTGAGCGCATTCTGATAGTGCTGACGAAAGAATTTGAGAAAAGCTCTTTGCACCCAAAGCTCGATGTACTAATTATCAAATTTTAACCTCTGATAAAGAAAAGTGCTCGAATTTAAATAAACAGCAATAATAAACCTGATAATTAAGAGTTGTGTGTGTGCAACGACGAAATTGTTTCTGCCCGACGGCAACTGTGGTATCATCGCTACCGTCGGTAGTTGTAAGTAAAAGAATTTGTATCGTTCTAATGAATTATTATTATCCTTAATAAACTTTCTTAACTAAACTCTGTCTCAACTATACTTACTTTTCATACCTACTTCAACTAAAACACAATAAAATCGTCAATTGAAGCGGTGTTTAACTTTTAAAAGTGGATAAACGGACCTACAATTTCAAACAAATTCCCAAGGGAATTTGGCAGCTTGGTGCCTCCCCAAATTCAGAAATAATAAGGGCCATCTCAAAAGCCCAAACAAAAGAAAGAATTTTTTTTTTATTCTGGTTTGTAACAGAGCGTAGCGAGAGCAGCAATCACCCGAGAAAAATCATTCTTTTACCACGTGTTGTGCACTACGTTTTCTCGAACGCCTTGCGAGGAAAGGTTTCTTCGTGAGTTTCGTATAATTTTAATTTAACGTGTGCTTATGTTTAATACAATAAAAAACGAATGTTTTAGGTGGGGAAAAAGTTACATACAAAATATATCTCGGTCTTCAGAGCAGTTGAGAAAAGTTCTACTTTCGCCACACTTTTCTACAAAGGAAAGTACTTCTTTCAGAGCAAGCGTTGGAGAAAATATATTTTTAAATTCTACGCTTCAAGACGAAAAAAACGCCAATTTGGTTTTTAAACTTGGTTAAAAAGAACTCAAGAAAAAAATATTTTCATTTAATATTATTAAAAACTTTAATTGATAATAACTATAACAAAAACATTTTTTTTGCTTTTAATTTTTTATGAAATTATTTTTATCACATAAAGAAGAGAATAAAAGATATTTCATTAAATTTTTTTTTTAATTTATCCGATCCATTTGGCTAAGCCTGACCCATAACACAGCCACATAAAAAAAATAAAAAGTTCTGATCTGGGAGTCTCACTATGTAGACTTTATGTTTTTTGGGTCGCTAAATCCGAATCCGAGGTCCATTTAACCCCATCAGATCAGGATTTTGACATAGCCTCAAAAAACCAATATGGCTGACATGTTTTTGAAAAGTTCATCGGATTCGCTTGAAATTCGTTACTCGGAGTTTTTGGGGTCGCTGATTACGAATTTGAAGTCAGATTTCAAAAATTCAAAATGGCGGATCTAATATGGCGGATACGTTTATGAAAAAATTCATCGGATTCGCTTAAAACTCGTTACTCGGGGGTTTTTTGGGTCGCTGATTACAAATTTGAAGTCAATTTTAAAAATTTAAAATGGTGCATCTAATAAACATGTTCTTTTAAGAAATTAAGAACTTGAGTGATCCAATTTACCCAGAATTACTCTATATCTTACGTGTGCCTGCATCCAGGGCACCTCCACGTGGTGACGGTGGGCAACAGAGTTTGTCTGCTATCCGGCTAAGTTGTTGGATGACGACTCCTGAGAGCCTGCTTTCTAACCCTGAACCGCCGATACTGGGGTTTCGAGTAGCACGTTTTCTACGTGTGTCTTCCATGACGGCATTACATCCATTACCCAAGGACTTAGCCGGATAGCGGACAAACTCCGTTGCCCACCGTCACCTCGTGGAGGTGCCCTGGATGCAGGCACACGTAAGATATAGAGTAATTGCGTGTGAATTGAATCACTTAAGTTCTTGATTCCTTAACCCTTTAACGCCGGGACGGACACTTTTTTTGAATCATTTTCAACGTTAATTATTTTGGTTATTAGACATGTAGAAAATTTTCGGAATAACATTTTCCGACGTATTTTTTATCGCTCTTTCAGAATCTGTCATCAAAATTGCAAAAAACAAAAATTCCTAAAAGTTATGGCCATTTTTTTGGAAAAAAATCCAAATTTTTGACATTTTTGATTCAAAAATGATTTTTTTCTTCATGTTAGCAGTAACCAGAAAAATTCTTTATCATAAAATATCGCGTCCACAATATCCTAGCATCAAAGTTGTGGACCATACAATTAAAAATTTCAAAATGGCGGATCCAAAATGGCGACAAAAGAATTTTTTTTCACAAAATTGACACCCTGTGGACTTTTTTTTTAATTCTTCTTTTATCTTCAAGACAAATAATATCTGAATGTTTTTTGGGTCGCTGATTACGAATATGATGTCAGTTTTCAAAAATTCAAAATGGCGGATCCAATATGGCGGACAAAATTCTAAAAAATTATCAAATTCACTTGAAACTTGTTACTCGGGGGTTTTTGGGGTCGCTGATTACGAATATGATGTCAGTTTTCAAAAATTCAAAATGGCGGATCCAATATGGCGGATCCAATATGGCGGCCGAATTTCTAAAAAATTATCAAATTCACTTGAAACTTGTTACTCGGGGGTTTTTGGGGTCGCTGATTACGAATATAAAGTCAGTTTTTAAAAATTCAAAATGGCGGATCCAATATGGCGGACGAAATTCTAAAATATTATCAAATTCACTTGAAACTTGTTACTCGGGGGTTTTTGGGGTCGCTGATTACGAATATGATGTCAGTTTTCAAAAATTCAAAATGGCGGATCCAATATGGCGGCTATTTTTGTAAAATTTATCGGATTTGCGTAAAACCTGTTGCTCGGGGGTTTTTTGGGGTCGCTGAAAATGAATATGAAGTCAGATTTTAAAAATTCAAAATGGTGGATAATTTCTTACTTCATTCATTTAGCTGAATGAATTGTCTATTAGTTAGTCTTTGCAGTCAGTTGTTTTACAATAACATTGAATTCCATTTCCTTTAGAAAGTATATGTGACCCCTTCTGAGAAAAGGGACCTTATGGCCAAAAAATCGATTCTTTTATTTTGACGGGGTCTTACACTTTAATGTCCTTAAAATGCATGTAGTAAAAAAAAATTTAATTTTTTAAACAAATAAAATATTTTCACTTAAAAAAATTTGAGTTTGTTCATAATGTCCCTGTTCTCAGACGGTCACATATTGTTTCTTACTTTATTAACAACAGCAGAAAGACATGGTTTCTCATACAGCTGCATTGGATTGACTATTATTCAGCATCATTTTATTATATTTATTTTTAACTTTTTTACAACATCCACCAAATATCAGTTCTTCCACAACTGGATTGTTTGTTCTTTTATTGAATTATACTTTCTTTGGCATTTCCTGGATAACTTGTTTTTTTGAATTGAGTTCCATTCTCATTGGTAAGCACATCGGGTATTCCATTTTTTTGGTGAGTATTTTTAATTGTTATTTGAATCCTTATTTATTCTATATCATTTTACTATTAATTTCAAGTAATTGAAAATGCCATCTAAAAAAAGGCGTTCTAATGCAACCTCATCATCTAAAGTTGTACAATCTGAGTCAACTGAGCTCTTTAAAAGTGACACGCATATTGATCTAGTACTTTTACCAGATTCAATGAGTTCAAATGTTGAATCTGAAGACGGCAGTGATGATGAGAGTGAAGTTGACTTATCTCCAAGTGATAATGCGATTCTGTCTTACAGGACAACAGGTTTTACGCAAATCCGATAAATTTTACAAGAAAAGCCGCCATGTTGGATCCGCCATTTTAAATTTTTGAAAACTGACATCATATTCGTAATCAGCGACCCCAAAAACCCCCGAGTAACAAGTTTCAAGTGAATTTGATAATTTTTTAGAATTTCGTCCGCCATATTGGATCCGCCATTTTGAATTTTTGAAAACTGACTTCATATTCGTAATCAGCGACCCCAAAAACCCCCGAGTAACAAGTTTTAAGTAAATTTGATAATTTTTTAGAAATTCGGCCGCCATATTGGATCCGCCATTTTGAATTTTTGAAAACTGACATCATATTCGTAATCAGCGACCCCAAAAACCCCCGAGTAACAAGTTTAAAGTGAATTTGATAATTTTTTAGAATTTCGTCCGCCATATTGGATCCGCCATTTTGAATTTTTGAAAACTGACTTCATATTCGTAATCAGCGACCCCAAAAACCCCCGAGTAACAAGTTTCAAGTAAATTTGATAATTTTTTAGAATTTCGTCCGCCATTTTGAATTTTTGAAAACTGACATCATATTCGTAATCAGCGACCCAAAAAACATTTAGATATTATTTGTCTTGAAGATAAAAGAAGAATTAAAAAAAGTCCACAGGGTGTCAATTTTGAGAAAAAAAATTCTTTTGTCGCCATTTTGGATCCGCCATCTTGAAATTTTTAATTGTATGGTCCACAACTTTGATGCTTGGATATTGTGTACGCGATATTTTCTGATAAAGAATTTTTCTGGTTACTGTTAACATGAAAAAAAAAATCATTTTTGAATAAAAAATGTCAAAAATTTGGATTTTTTTCCAAAAAAATGGCCATAACTTTTAGGAATTTTTGTTTTTTGCAATTTTGATGACAGATTCTGAAAGAGCGATAAAAAATACGTCAGAAAATGTTATTCCGAAAATTTTCTACATGTCTAATAACCAAAATAATTAACGTTGAAAATGATTCAAAAAAAGTGTCCGTCCCGGCGTTAAAGGGTTAAAAGAACATATTTATTGGATGCACCATTTCAAATTTCAAATTCGTAATCAGCGCCCCAAAAACCCCTTAGTAACGAGTTTTAAGCTAATCCCATGAATTTTTTAAAAACGTGTCCGCCATATTGGATCCGCCATTTTGAATTTTTGAAATCAGACTTCAAATTCGTATTCAGCGACCCCAAAAACCTCCGAGTACCGAATTTCAAGCGAATCCGATAAACTTTTCAAAAACATGTCCGCCATATTGGTTTTGTGAGGTTATGTCAAAATCTTGATCTAATGGGTGTCAATGGACCTCGGATTCGGATTCAGCGTCCCAAAAAACATAAAGTCTACATAGTGAGACCCCCAGATCAGAACTTTTTTTTGTATGGCTGTGTAATTAATGAGAAATTACAAATTTTAGTAATTTTTTATTTAATTTAATTGAATTAATTTCTTTAAATTTTAAAATAAATAAGACATAAAAAATAAAATACATAAAAAATTAATTATAGAAATAGGTTAATAACAAATATAATAACAAACACTTCCTAGGCAAACAGAAAATTAACCAATCAAAATGGTTACTGGAAAAAACGATGAAAAGATTAGGTTAGGTTAGAATGACACGCATCTCTCGCGTAATTAGAATTACCCGAATTACCTGAATTCATTTTTTAATTCCAATCAATTCCAGCCTTCTTGCCGGGTTAGGAATGAGGAAAATATTATTTAACATTTAGTAGAAGATTATGTTTTATTAGTATTATAAATATAATTATTATTTAACATATAAAAAATATAACACAAACAAATATATATATATATATATATATATATATATATATATATATATATATATATATATATATATATATATCACTTTATGTTACTCAGAGCCACAAAAATACACATAATACAATTTTTGTAAAAGATGAGAATTTTTACAAGTTTTACATTTATTTCCACAATGTTCAGTTTTGTTATATAACTCGGTACATATATTGAAATATACTAGATATTGACAGGTTAATAGCAGTCAAAAAGTTCAGGTTTTACGAAACAATCAAAGTCTTTGTTAAAAAATTAAGTTAACAAACGAAGTTGATCAACCAACGCGAATCACAACAACGCAAGTAAACACTGTTGTCAAGGAGGTTAGGTATACAGAGAAGGGAAGTTACGTGTTACTTAAAATATTAATAATAAATATATAAAGATAGTATATTTATCAATTAAATGTATTCAACAAGTTTAAACTTTTTTTTCAAAACAAAAAAAATTTATTAAATTTTGTTTGTTATATTTATTATTAATTATATTTGATGGAACCTGTTCGAAGATATGTTTTACTAGGTAGTACCGCGACTTGTCGCTCGGTGACGCCACTTTTTAGAGATGTTAAATTAAAAGAGGATAGAGGGTGTCTCTCTCCTACTTTCTTGGTTCAGGTTCTGCTTTCGAGCTTCATTCGTTTCTTGGCGTCGGTGACGTACACACTAATCATATATCAAGATCAACGACAAAGAAAGAAAGCAACAAATTTTCCAAGCCAGACTTAAGGAAATTGAGAAGGAGACAAACAATATTTGCGCAGATGGAGAATCTCGATTGAAATGAGGAACTCTGTTTCGCAGGTAAGTGCACAAATGAAATAAAGAGGCCAAGCTCGCCTCTAACGAGCAAAAAGAATGTGGCGGATTCCCAATCCAGAATCGGGAACATACAGTTAAGGGGGGAAACCACATTAGGAGGTTGAAAAAATCGATTTTTTTTATTGCATAAATCGTTAGCTTAGCTATTGAAAAATACGTTCTCAAAGTTTTAAAACAAAATTTTCGGCTATATTTTATTAGAGCGTTGCTCTATTTTACTTGGCATCAGTTTTGATTTAGCTGTTTTGAGATTTTTAGTTAGATTTAAGAGCGTTTTTAATTGAGAGTGAGAAATGTCTTCTTATCCAAAAGGTGAAAATAAGACTTACGACCGTCGCAGTAGACCACGGAAAAGAAAATTTCATGGAAACCAGCACGATAATAACCAGAGTGATAGTAATGAAGAT